GGCTATAAATAGAGAAACACGTTTCGTACACAACTTCTGTATGTACCGGTTGGTCTCAGTCCATTGGGAACATGTTATATGCAAAATACAACTCAACCGGTGCAAGACTTGTCTGAGTCAAAGTAAACTCAGGTCAGTTTATTAGGGAAACAGTCCCTTGTGGTTAGAAAACTCACTAAAGTATGAATTGTGATGAATTCAAAGGGAATTTGAGGCCAAAATAGCTGACATGAAAAAATATATATTTCCATTCAGCTATAACTACAGATCAATATGTTATCAATAATAATAATAATAACATGTTATGAACCCCTTGATTGTTACATTTATCTCTTTTCCCTTTAATTTATGACTGTTTCCTGATTATTTCTTGTAAATGTTTTGGTTTACACTATTATTATAATACAATCTCATAAAACAAAAAAAAAAACAGATTAAAAGACAGACAAGCAGAAAGTGATATTTTGTGTACACGGGTCTTGTAAAGAGTAATGTACCGTGTCTCCGGGAATCATAAAATACCAAGTAAGTGCTCTAGGATTTACAAATCCAATTGAAATTAGATAAAGAAAAACATCATAAGGAGAGGATCAAATATATTTGCTTTTAAAATGTATGATTATCCCTGCCCAGATTGTACCAACTCATAACGGTTATATTATTTTATGTCATGATACATCATACTGTATGTCTGTGTTTGCAAAAAATATACTTGACCAGTCTTGAATAAAAAACGTATATTTTAAAAAAAAGTGTGCGATGATGCAGAGAGAGGCGATGAGTCTAGAACCTTTAGGTCAGCCTTTACACAGGGGCAGCATGGAGAAGGTAAAAGAGACTCTCTATATGTGCACACCTGGATCTGACTCACACTACAACAGACAATTGCCCTGCAGCAATCCAAAAGACTCACATGACATTCGTGGAGTAAAGCCTTTTTGGGGAGTTTATTCACAGTTTTGAATTAAAAATAAATAAATAATTTTGCAGATGTTGTTGAAGAAGCAAGTCGGAGACACAGACTATGCAATGAGTAATCACCCACTATTAAGGAGATTGGTGAGATAATTAAAGCGATGCGGCAACCTGACTTTCCATACATTTTGGGGATAATCTGATCTGCCAGCTGCGTCCGTAAACTACGCACGTACAGCGGTGGCAAAGCTCTCATCACGAGGCTTTATTAAAAAGAATAGACAGGTAACCCTGCAACATGAAACAGGTTATCACGGTGTTGGTATTTTTGCAGAAATGGGATGTGTTTGTGAATTAATACATGGATATTATTATATTAATTGTAAGAACATATTTGGCACAGAATATTATCAGTACCGTATTAATAAGAATGGAGTGTAAGCCTTTTATAGCTTTTCAGTGGGAGGTAATCAATCAGAGTGTTAACGAACTGTTACAGACCGTGCTTATCACAGCAGATAATATTTTGATATTCAGACAGTATCGCCACATTTACTATCCGCAGCCACCAAGATGGCTCTCAGCGGGAGAAAGTAAGAGGGCAGTGGGAGATGCTAGGCTGTTTGTTCTAGAATACAGGCAGTCTTTGTGTTCCATGATTGGAACGAGCTGAGACGAGGCCAGTAAGCCTGTATGACAGCTTGACACCATGTGCTGCCCATTCAACCTCCCATCCCATCTGCAGCCCCACCGCCCTCCAACATGGGCACAGCCAAGCATGTGCCACGCTCCTTTCAATATTGTCAGACAAGTTAGATTTTCCGCCTGCCCAGAGCACAATGTGACATCCACTTCTGATAAGCTGGGCGGCTCAAATCTATTTATGGAAGAAAAAAAAAGAAATTATCTTTATTTTTTTCCTAAGAGCTAAATGAACCAATAGGAGAGATATCGCTCTGTAGCCATGAGAGGAAGTGCCATGCGGGCATCACAGAGGCAGGTGGCTACAGCTTTAATAACTGGCTGTGTGAGAGTTCCTGCTTCTAGCGTTTCAATATCGACAGATTTATCTCATCTCCTCCACAGAAAGAGCCAGCATTTGTTCTTGGAGGCACTCTGCTGAGGACGGCCATTAAACACTGCGATTAAACAACTGCTACGCACACGGACAGAAACAGACTTATGTTATCAAAATATTGCAACAGACATGGTGATGGTATGCACAATACAGGACTGGGCATGGGTTGCAACAGAGCCTGCCTTCCTGAAAACAGAACTGAGCACTGCCTGCCTTATTCAATACAGGACTGAGCACATCCTGCAGCACTCACTGCAGGACTGGGTACAGTCTGCCTTACTCAATACAGGACTGGGCACGGTCTGCCTTACTTAATACAGGACTGGACACGGTCTGCCTTATTCAATACAGTACTGGACACGGTCTGTCTTACTCAATACAGGACTGGGCAAGGTCTGCCTTACTCAATACAGGACTGGACACGGTCTGCCTTACTTAATACAGGACTGGACACGGTCTGCCTTATTCAATACAGGACTGGCCATGGTCTGTCTTACTCAATACAGGACTGGGCAAGGTCTGCCTTACTCAATACAGGACTGGACACGGCCTGCCTTACTCAATACAGGACTGGGCACAGCCTGCCTTTGCCAATACAGGACTTACTTAATACAGGACTGGACACGGTCCGTCTTACTCAATACAGGACTGGACACGGTCTGCCTTATTCTATACAGGACTGGGCACGGTCTGCCTTACTCAATAAAGGAATGGGTACAGTCTGCCTTGCTCAATACAGGACTGGACACAGTCTGCCTTAGTCAATGTAGGACTGGGTACGGTCTGCCTTACTCAATACAGGACTGGGCACGGTCTGTCTTACTCAATATAGGACTGGACACAGTCTGCCTTACTCAATACAGGACTGGGCACGGTCTGCCTTACTCAATACAGGACTGGACACGATCTGCCTTATTCAATACAGGACTGGACACGGTCTGTCTTACCCAATACAGGACTGGGTACAGTCTGCCTTACTCAATACAGGACTGTGTACAGTCTGTCTTGCTCAATACAATAATGGGTACAGTCTGCCTTAGTCAATACAGGACTGGGTACAGTCTGCCTTAGTCAATACAGGATTGGACACTGTCTGCCTTTGTCAATACAGGACAGGGCACGGTCTGCCTTTGTCAATACAGGACTGGGCAGGGTCTGCCATACACAGTACATGACTAAGCATTGGCTGTTAAGCTTAATACAGGGCTGAACACTGACTGCAAACCTCAGTGCAGGATTGATCACTAGCCGTTACAGAACATAGCACTAGAAGCTATCTATCAAACTTCACGCATGGGCAGACTGAAAGCCACACTCCATAAAGGACAGAGCAGTGGTTTTTCAGTATAGGACTGGCCATTAGCTGTCATGCCAAATACAGTACAGTACACTATCTGTCAGCTAAAAACAGCACTGGGCTCAAGCCACATTTAATTAAGCACTGCACACAGTAAAACAAGCACAATTCAAAAACCTTGCTTAATTCAGAGCTAAACTCGAACATGCATAAACAATTTATTTACTGCTGGATTTAAAGCGCCATGACGGGCCGGGCTGCATAGCTACAGACACTGCCGAATGCGGGACTTATTTGGTCACATGCACAAGCAGCCACAGACTGTAGCCCCAGGAAGAGAGGGCCTTGACAGGGCTTGGAGGCTGGTTTAGGGGGAGCCTGATGGTGATTGGTCGGTAGGGTTTAGTGGTTGGGCTGATATAAACGTCGGCCATTTTAGAAATCCCCATTACTAATCTGACTTACCAGGCTGAGCTGGTCCCTCCCTTTATGCATGGGTTACGATTTGCCCGTTTGGTCACAGCGGCAGACTGGTATAAAGAAGGTTAACGGGGTAATGTGCCTGCTTAGGGAAGAGAAGAGCAAGAGTAGTTAGTTGGCTGGTTAATATGGTTGGTTATCTGTTGGTAAGATGATGGTGAGTTTCGAGCTCGTTGGTAGCTCAGAACCCGGGTGGTGTAGTGGTATCAAGGTATACCCCTGCCAGGATCGTGTAGAAAATGTTGGATCCTGTTAGTGTTATATTTATGTGATTGTTATACTATGTTATGTTTAAATTAAGGGGTCATTGCTTTGTGATTTGATATGTGGGGAATTGATAATGTTGGATGGCTGAGGATTTGGGGGTGGGCAATGACTTTAAAAAGTTATTCATATGTTGGTATTATTATGATTATAATAAAATTAAAGCTGTGGACATATTGACCCATATCTAAGAGTGTCAGTGTTTTATTAGGGGTGGATTGGTAAAGGTAGTAGACAGCTCCTCCTGCACATATGGTGACAATGCACCTGTCATGTACAAAAAGAGCAGTGTAATGCTGGAAAGGAATGGTCCAATATTATTCAGTGTTGTACACCAGGAGCCATGAACATTGCGGTATCTGTCTCTTCCTCCAGCGACTTGATATTTGGTTTATTAAAATGGATGGAGGTGAGGGGAGAGGGAGGGCTGCCTCCTATGGCCATGGCATTCCGGATCCGAAAAGCCGCGACAGCCCCAGTGGACGCTCCCAGGGACATAATCGCGCAGTGGTGAAAATGGCAATCCTTCCCCGCTCAATGAATACACCCTACACCGAGGTGAGAATCTTCAACAACTTACCGCTCGCGGTCCTGCTGGAGAGACGCAAATTCATACCGACCACCAAATTGCTCAGAGACCGCGGAATCAGGTACTGGTGGGGAGCGAACCGGGCTTACCCCGCGGAGAAACTCACCACCGAGAGGGGAGAAAAATCTGGCATGGCGGTGGCAGAACGGCGATCTACACAAAAGCAATCTCCATAGCGCTGCTAGCCCTGAAGAGAGATCGCAGCCGAAAGGACTACTGTGTATAGACGCCACCCTCTCCCCATATGAACTGCTACCATAAACCGCCAGACTGTGAGACTTTAAACTCTACATGAGACGTTACAGGTAGTGATGTAGCGAACCATTCGCGAACTTCCAACGAACTTCTCGCCGCGGTTCGCGACGGGCTCTGGTCAGCTGACACGTCCCGGCCAATCTCCAGCAGACCCTCCCTCCCAGACCCTCCCACCTCCTGGACAGCATCCATGTTGAAGGCAGCTTCAACATGGATGCTGTCCAGGAGGTGGGAGGGTCTGGGAGGGAGGGTCTGCTGGAGATTGGCCGGGACGTGTCAGCTGACCGGAGCTCGCCGCGAACGGTTCGTGGCGAACCGCGGCGAGCCGTTCGCGGGAAGTTCGTGAACGGTTCGCGACATCTCTAGTTACAGGCCACTAGATTTTAAACTTTACACGAGACGTTACAAAGCTATACCATATACACCCTGTTCCAAATTATTATGCAAATGATTTTTTTCTCATTTACCTAAATAATTGATGTAAATAACAGTCAGCATAATTCTCATGTTATCAACTATGAAGAGTACAATTCAAATTTTATTGAACAAACCTCCTAATGATAACAGTATTTTTTTTAAACATAAAAAACTTACAATGCACTGTTCCAAATTATTACGCACAGTAAGTTTCAAAACACTTTATAGGTTGTAAAGAACTGAAAATTGTCATTTGTTTTGTTTGCAGCATATTTACTGAAATCAAAAGCTATTTCACTCAAACTTATAACAACATTTTAATTTTTTAAACATTTTAACCGGTCACGTTACATTTTAACATAAGACCCCTTATTTCATAGCAGCTTCACAAGTCTTGCATCCATTGAACTTGTGAGTTTTTGGACAGTTTCTGCTTGAATTTGTTTGCAAGATGTCAGAATAGCCATCCAGAGCTGCTGTTTGGATGTAAACTGCCTCCCACCCTCATAGATCTTTTGCTTGAGGATGCTCCAAAGGTTCTCAATAGGATTGAGGACAGGGGAGGATGGAGGACTTGTTGGAACAGGGTGGCCGTCCACCAACCATCCACTACTCCATCAATCTGGACCATCCAGGGTTGAACAGGACTGTTTGAAAATTAGTCTTCATGTATTTTTCTGCCCAATGCTGCCATTTTTGCTTGTGAGCATTGGTTAGTGGTGGCCGAATAGAAGGTTTATGCACAGTTGCAAGACTCTGGAGGACTCTACGCCTTGATGTCCGTGGGACTCCAGAGGCACCAGCAGCTTCAAATATCTGTTTGCTGCTATGTAATGGTATTTTAGCAGCTGCTTTCTTGATCCGATGGATGGTTCTGGAAGAAATCTTCCTCAATGTGCCTTTATCTGCACGAACCCGTCTGTGCTCTGAATCAGCCACAAATCTCTTAATAGTGCAATGATCACGCTTAAGTTTTCATGAAATATCTAATGTTTTCATACCTCGTCAAAGGCATTGAACTATTTCACTCTCTTCGGCAGCAGAGAGATCCTTTTTCTTCCCCCTATTGCATGAAAATGGTGCTCTGCTTAATAATGTGGAACACCCTCCTTTAGTAGTTTTTCATTCAGTTGGGCTCACCTGGCAATCTAATTATCACAGATGTCCGAGATTTTTTTCAGTGATCAAAAGAGCCCTGAGACACAATGCCATCCATGAGTTAAACTGAAAAACAAAATATTTAATCTTTGTGACACTTAAATAGAATTTGCATAATAATTTGGAACATGGTGTAGTTTTTCTTTTTCAATTTTTAAACTCCACATGAGCCACCAAGGTACTACTTTAAACTGTTCATGTTAAATTCTAGGCGAGAGGCGAGAGGCGAGAGAGCTATACCAATTTGCATATTTTTAACTCTGCACAACCTGTACGAGGGTAGTCCCAAAGCAGTTAACATACTACCCTAAACTGTTTATTTTTAACTTTAGGCGAGTAGCGAGAATGTTATACTAACATGCATACCTTTCACTCTATATGAGCTGTCCGAGGGTAATCCCAACCTGTTTTTAATTAACTCCACAAGAGCAGCTAGCATGTGATACCAAAAAATGCCTTATTAACTCTACACAAAACGCTGTCATGTTGTAATAAATTGTGAATTCCTAGAGAGCTATACTAAATTATATATTCCTCACTCTACATGTGCTGCCAGGGGGATATATCTAATCGGTTATTCTTAGCCCCGCAGGAGCTGCAAACGTGTCACACCAAAATGTCTTGATTATTCATGTTTATGGGTTCACTCCACATGTGCCACGGGCAGGCTGTACCTGACTGTAGGGCTCTATCCCCCCACCTGAGCTGCCACCGTATCCACCCGGGTCCGAGACACGGACACTAACCAATTAAGATAGAGGGGGACCACAGCGGGGATAAAAGATGGATGGCCTTCGTGAGAAATACAGTAATGGGAGCGGGGTGTGTGGGGGGGGTCAGGACGTCAGTGGGTGACAAACAGGGACCAGACCCAAGATTAGGCACTACAGCCACCACAGGATCCGTGGGACCTCTCTCCCCATTAATACGACCGCAAGGGGAAAGCTCACGGTCATGCGCAGCCCATTATAAGCGGAGGACGCATGGAGAGACAGTCGGGTGGCCCGAATATAAGAGAGACGTAAAAGGGACTGAAGGAGAGGAGGAAGTGAAGCAGGGCAAGGGTTCGGAGGCAGCGCACATGTACCACACTATAGAACAAGAGAGACATCCAACGAATAGCGGGATAGGGACAACACCCATGACTGAGGAGAAAGAAAGGAAGGGGATCCGCACAGTAACCTAATGGCCTAACCACAGGGGACCCACCTGCTCAGTAACAATTGACTACGGTATGCCACTAAAGTATAGCGATGCTTGTTTTTTATGTTTGTGTTATACCTTTATATGTTTGCTTTACATTTTTTGAACTGGAAATTGTATACTATCACCACAACCCGTGGAAATCTTCCACAACAAAAATAAAGAATTTATTTAAAAAAACAAAACAAAAAACGCCGTAAATATCCACGACTGCTTTGTTCCAACGTGTAACCCTTTTATCCAAATATCAAATCATAAGCAGTGTTAATTAAAAGGTTGATCCTAGTTTAATATTATTCAGTGTGTGCTACATGCAAATATTCTATAGACTGGTGAAAAATAGCCAGCATTTCTTGTTGTTTAATTTCGTAGAAATCCTAAAGACTTATGTGAACAGGTCCTTAGCAGAGATCCGAAGCCTTCTAAATGTGTTTTCTGTTAATGGTGGATATGTTTTAATTATAAGCACAGGCCTGCTGTAGGGGGGAAAAAAATTACAGTTGGCGAGTTATTGCTAAGAGCTAAAGTAAAGTAGAAAAAAAGAATACATTTACCGTGTTTAAAATCTGGGTTTTTTTTTTTCTTTCTGCAAAAACAATTATAATATAAAATTGTAAAATGTGCTTTTTAAAAAAAATAATAATAATTTAAAATTGGATAATGCTATGTTTTGCTTGTGTATGTCTACATTTATCTGAAATAGAGTAATTATCCTTAATGCAACCCTTGCTGTGCCCTTACACTGAGCTGGGAGGGACATGCAATTGACGTGTTTATAGGCCTTTTCAGTGTTTATGGGTAATTCTACAAACAGGAGCAAAAGGCACTTAGTAAATCTTTCCCTAATGCAATCTTGGCAGACAGACTGTTTGAGCTACCAATAGCATATTTCTGAAGTGAATCCCTTTGTGAGAAATTGGGAAGACAGAGTTCATTGTCTCGCCCTGACAAAGTGCCACTGTAACGCCTGGATAGGTAATTGTGTTTTTAGCCACAGTCAAACAGTCAAGAGGTTAATTATTGACTGTGAGAAAATTCACTACTAAAAAGGAGGGATTGTTTGCGGACGGGTAGGAATGAGTTAACCGAGCAATCCCTCTTTTCACATGTTTGATACAGAAGCGATTTTGGTAAATTGTTCAAAAAGGTCTTTTGCCCTGCCGGCTCGGAGAGCTGGATGCAAGGATGATGGAAATGGATGGAGATTCGCAAAATGAAATTCCGCCTGAATGGGAATCGAAATAAAAGATGGAAGATCAATCAGGCTGTCCGTGGCGGACCAAGGATCCCTCCCTCCAAAAAAACAAAGGGGATTATGGAAAGTGGCGCATGGGTCAGGAAGATTATGTAAAAGACATTTTGTTTGGCAGGAGGGAACATTAAAGTGAATTTAGTCTGCTGATAGCAGCTGCCAGCGGATTCTGGAATAAGTGAAAATCTGCATTTGAATAGAGAAGTTATTAAGAGACTGATCATGAGGGTAGCATGACATCGAGCTTGGAGAAGTCACAGCTGAATGTCAGCGTTAATGGCTGCGTGTTCATGGCTGGAGTTTAACCCTCGACTCTCCAACTGCAGCATAAACTGCGACAGTGCTCTGGAGCCAACGTGGCTCTAGATTGCAAGCTCTGATGACTAGCACTCTGCATTGCCAGTATCTGTGTAGCAAAGGATAAATTCAGTAACCACCAAATTGTACTGAAATAAAAACTCAAATGAGTCTACAATAATCAAACTGTGGCTATAGCTGAGGCCGAGAATATATTCGAATCGGCTATTTAGGCCTAACCTAGTTTTCTGTGAGAGCACAGAACGTGTACAATACACAAGGTATTCAAACATTCCAAAATGAAAATAGAACTGCTTTATAAAATGTATTAAAATTCAGGATAGTAATTAATAAAATGTGTGATGTTTGTTGGTAGAAACGTATAGAGGGGAGTCAGGGTTAGGAGAAAATATAAGGGAGGTTTCTTGTGGCATATTGCCTTAGATTATATTTGAGAGAAATGAGTTGGAAAAAAACGCAGGAGGTTTTCAATTTAAATCAAATCAGGGTTTAGTGAATAAGCCCTATTGTGTTTTCTCTGCATTGCAAGAAAACATTTACAGGTCAGCAGTCAGCATTTTAAGTCTCTTAAAGTAGAAGTGTCCTTACATTTGATGACAAGGTCAGATACAGGCAGGTGGAGACATGTAATGTTAACAGAGTGCTGCTGGTGGGTAAACTACCCAGTCAATGAATAGATTAGAAATATTTCCTTTTTTAAAGCCCATTTCTGCACTTCTAAAATGGCTGCCCACATACCCCAAATTACATGTTCTGCATCCAGGCGGGTACATAGCAAGATGGGAAAGGAGGACAGCATTTATTTACTGAAGTTAAAATTTATAAATATTTAGATTTAAAATAACGCATCTTTATTTTGCAAACAATCTAATATAAAGCATACGAGAATTTATCAGACTAATAAAATGGATGACGGCAGGACAGAGTCCCTTT